CCTAGAGACAGAACATGGCAAAAGATCCTGGACAGAAACTGGCAACAGAACTTGGTTGGAGAACCTAGACAGAACCTGGCTGCAGAAGCCGGCTACAGAACCTGGCGACTGAACCTGGCTGGAGAACCTAGCGAGAGAACATGGCTACAGAACCTGGCTGGAGAACCTGGATAATGTGGCTGGAGAACCTAGCAAGAGAACATGGACACAGAACCTGGCTGGAGATCCTAACCAGAACTTCGCTGGAGATCCTAACCAGAGCTTGGCTGGAGGTCCTGGCTAGGCTGCTGATCAACTGAATGCTGTCTCCGTGTCATTCCTTCTTCGCTGACTCCGTCCACACCTTTGGGGAACCCCTGGACCTGCTGGGGTTGGACCCCAGCAAAGGCCATGGCTCACTTTAAAGGGAAGGAATGAGTTGCATGTGGTATTAAGTAAATTACATAATGCCGCTTTTACTTTTTCTTGGTGTAAAAATGTCTTTTCCTTTTTGAGATATGTACTGGCCTGTTTATGAATACGATGATGTGTTGGGTTTTTCCCCCCAAAAAAATAATAATGCGGAAGAGGGAGGTGAGAGGGCCAGGTTGGCAGGAGTTGGGGACTGTTGGAACCGGGTGATGAGCACATGGGGGTTCACGCTTCCATTCCATTTACGTGAGTGCGGGTCCGAAATCCTCCATAACAGAAAGTGGAACAGAAATAAATGCCTGCATCATAACGCCAGCGATCATATCTGGCCTTGCTTTTAACATAGATCTGGTTTTAATTTTTTTTTTTTAAACCAGACAGTACAAAAGGTGAGTAAGCGCCTGCTGGAGCCAGAGAGTAAAACACTCACCATTTTGGGTAGGATTCCAGGGCGGCTTGCGTGACACTGACTCCCCGTGAACTTGTGCGGTGGTACCAGGTTTGTCACGATGGACATCGGGGGACCGGAGCCAGTTCCTAAACTCGGAGCACACCACGATCAACGCTGTAGGGATGGTTCAAGAGAAGACTGTCCCAGAAGCTCCTGGAGCAGAAGCAGAGCGGGCTGGCTGGCGTCTATCACTCTGAATCCCCAGTCCTCCCAGGTGGAGCATTTCCAACAAGGACACTTCCATTCTCCTCACAGGAGAGTATTATTAACTGGTGCGTTGCTCAAGCGAATGCATCCATTGAGGCTTTTCCTCTTGGCATTTCAAAAATATATATTTTAAAATTTGTTTTTATTGATTTCAGAGAGGAAGAGAGAGGGAGAGAAAGATAGAAACATCAATGATGGGAGAGAATCATTGATCGGCTGCCTCCTTCACGTCCCCTACTGGGGATCGAGCCCACAACCTGGGAACGCGCCCTGACTGGGACTCGAACCGTGACCTCTGGTTCATAGGTCGAATGATCAACCACTGAGCCACGCCAGGCGGGCCTGCTCTTACTATTTTTGATCTTAGAGATTAGAGAGGTGATATCAGAAATAACCAGTTCGATCCCTGAATCCTAACAGTCCCATCTGAGTGCATGAGTGTTATCTTCCCGTCTGCTTGGCAAGGTCTGAGCTCCTTCTCAAATCACGTGAGCACCTACCGGCCTGGACTGGCTCGATCCCTCTCTGTACCTACGTGAAGGTCAGTGCTGACCAATGCATGGGACATGGGCAACCCAGGAAGTCAACGGCCCAGCAAAAAGCACCAGGTGTTTATGGGTGATAAACACAGGGGCCGAACGGGTGGGACCAGCCTCCCAGACCAGGAAACGGAGGAGAAAATGGAATCTGAGCTGGTGCTGGGAGGAACCTGGGCATGGGTGGTGTTGGCAGCCCTGGCAGAGAAGGGCGTGTTTCCCAGGGAGCCTGTGCCCTACTTGTCTGCCTCACTTCACCAAACCACAAAGCCCTGCTCAGCGCTCCCCTGCCAACGCTGATCTCAATCCGCCCTGCTATCGGCGTTGTCATCTCTACAGAGACACGGAGTCAGGGCCGTGCATCGACGGGGCCTAATCTCATCCTGCCTTTTCCCAAAGCCATGCCATCTGGCCATCTGGCTGCTGACGGTGCCAGCCTGCATCCCTGTTCACTTCCTTCTCCCCTTCTCCCTCAGCTGCCCCTCTGACCCCAACCCAAACCTTCCATCCATTGCCACCTTATCTTTCACGGCTGGGAGGTGAATATTCAGGACAGAGCCCACGGAGGCAAAGATCTAACCCTGCCCCACCCTGTAACCTTCATGGCGGTGTCACCCAGCCAGACTGTGGCTGTGTCCGGGGCCTGGACCCACAGGGGGCTCAGAGAGGCGGCTGCCAGAGGGAGCTGTGAGGGCGATGATGGGAAACTGGCATCAGCTTGGGAAAAGAGGGTTTTACTTTCAGCACCTGCCAGCCTGACAGGTTTGCCAAGATTTCCCATTTGCTAAGGATTCTACATTAAACACACACTCACCCCTGCCTCACCCCTCCTCCCAAATGGACGAAACTTACTGGGTGAGGAGCCAGCGCCCAGGAAGGGGGACGACATGGCTCAGGAACCTTTTGTCTCCAGAGCGTTATCTGTCCTCATCTCCGCCACAGGACCCAAAACACCTCCCTAACATTCAAGGTTCCGTCCCAGAGCCAGAGAGGTGAGCCTTGACTTTGACCTACGAGATTCGTGCTGTTGTTTTTCACACACAAAGCGATTATACAACTTTTGAATACAGAGGTATATTTTAAAAAAATTCTTGGGTCCAGCTGGTGTAGCTCAGTGGTTGAGCATCAACCTGTAAACCAGGAGGACATGGTTCGATTCCCGGTCGGGGCACATGTCCAGGTGGCGGGGCCTGCAGGAGGCAGCTGATCAGTGATTCTCACCACTGGTGTTTCTATCTCTCTCTCCTCCCTTCCTCTCTGAAATCAATAAAAAAATATTAAAAACAAAAAAAAGAGGATGGGAAATAGAAGGGAAGAGGGTGGGACAGACTCTGGGCGCTGCTGGCCGCAGCTCTCATTGGCGAAGGGGTGGGGAGGTGAAAGAGGTGGAGAAGGTGGGGCCAGTCTCCCTCGGCATGGCATCACATCCCGCATCCTGCATCCAGCACCCCGCACCCCGCATCCCGCCGGGAGGAGGGGCTGCAGCCCCCAGGCTGCTCTCCCCGCTGGAGCGCCACCTCCTCCGGTGCGGACACCCTGCCCACCTCCCCTCTTCTCGCAGCGCCGGCTGCCCATTAGGAGGATGACCCACCGCAAAGTGCATTCACCGCAGAGGACGCGGGAAGCGGTGGAGGAGCCGCCCCGCCTCTGGAACTTACCTGAAAGCCCGCCTCCTCCAAAGCACTGAGCCTAATTTTGTGGGTTTTCCCCCAAAGAGCGCTCCTGAATTCCTTCACTTCACATCCCCCAAAGCCGGCCTCGGAGGGGCGACTGGGAGCCCCGGAAAGCCAGGGTCCTTTGGCAGCGGCGGCGGGCCTGACCTTACCCAAGGGGGTCACGGAGGATGAGGGGGGAGGCTGCGGGGTGCGGCCGGCCGCTGGCGTCCCTAGGGCGCTGCGCGTTGTGTGCAAAGCTCAGGGCGCAGCTGCGTGTCCCGCCCAGGACCCTCCTGGGTTCTAAGAGGCTCCCTCCACCGGGAATGTGCGCAGGCGCAGGCAGTCCGGCCTCACCTGGCCTAGGGACCAGGTTCCCCCTCCCCCTCCTCCTCCAGCCAGGCAGTGGATCACACCTGCGGGCCAGGTGGCTGGGCTCAGGGTGTGTGGCCAGGGCGGGTGGGGTGGGGGTTGGGAGGGGAGAGGGGGTAAAAATGAGCGGCACTCTACAGGCTTAGAATTTGTGATCATTACACGTGGTCACGCGGCAATGCCAAAGGGAAAGGGACAGCCCCTGGTCCCTGTGCTCCCGACCTCCACCCACATTTCTGGGGGGTGGAGGGGTGGAGGGGTGGCAGGGCACTGCCCAGGGGAAAGCTCTGGGGAGGAGGATGGAAGCCAGTTCCTACATCCTAGGCAAAGCAGAGCCGCCCCTGCCACTGGCTCTGGCCCCTGGGCAGGTAAGACTTCCGGGCCCTCCTTCCTCCCCAGGCAAGTGGGGTTAATGGCATCGAAGTCGAGGAGGGTGGAAGGAGGTGTGAGAGGTGGTCAGTGTGGAGTTCATTTGCATGGGGGTGGAGGGCGTGCCCTTTGAGGGGTGCCCGAATTTAGCATCTGGGGACCAGCACGGGGGGAGTGGGGGGAAAACCGTGGCAACCAAACCAGGCTGAGTTTGAGATGTGATGAGACCATGGTGACCCCAGTCCTCTAGCTTTCTTGGATGGAACCGATCTTCAAGCCTGGCTCCCCTGTGGGTGCTGAGAGCTTCCCTAGCCTTCCAGGGACTCCCTTGTCTGAGTCTGCTGGCATCTGACAGATACTGTAACGCAGCCAGGACCCAACTCGCCTTGGTCATCTGAGCGCTTTCCTTCGCTTCTGTTTGTGTCAGGCAGGGAAGATGTCAGGACTAACTTTTTATTTTAGTTTTAAAATATATTTTTGTTGATTTCAGAGAGGGGGGGAGGGAGAGAGAGAGAGAGAGAGAGAAACATCAGTGGTGAGAATCATTGATTGGCTGCCTTCTGCATGTCCCTTACTGGGGATCGAGCCCTCAACAAGGGCATGTGCCCTGACCCCAGGAATCGAACCCTGACTTCCTGGTTCATAGGTCAACGCTAAACCACTGAGCCACATCCGTCAGGCAGGACTAACTTTCTAGTTGGCTCTTCCACTAACCACCCTGGAAAAGGCGGCTTTGAGAAGGACTGAGCACAGCCGATTGTCCACAACAGCATCCGCTTTATTGGTACGAATCACAGTTATGAGGTCTTGTCCATCAGAAAGAAGCATCGTGTAGAAAACGCCATACAAAGACACCAAAACACACACACCCCAACCACCAGAGCACGTCCTCGCAACCCCTCAGACCTCTGGACGTGCCTTCAGTTTTGATCGTCGGGGCTTCAGAAGAACAGACATTGATTGGCCCCCGGGAAGGCTGGCCCCTGGGCATTCCTTCGGGGATGGCCCCCGATTCCTCGGAAGCAATCGGGCATGTAAACACAGAGGGCAGGGCAGGCGTGGACAACACGACACCTGGATGCCGGGCTCCGGGGCCGCCTGCCGTGTCCGCAGGGGTCCCAGGGTCCTGTGGGCTCCTGTGACCCATGAGGACGGCGACCCTCGCTGCACCTGAGGCAGCCACGTCCTCACCCCTGTTGGAGAAGCTGTGCATACGGAGGAACAGACTTGCTCCTAGTCTAGTTCAAGTCATTGGTTAGGGTCATGTCAGAGTGATGACTAGCTGAACACTTCCATTTAAAAGGGAAATGTAAAAAAATCTCTCTTTTTCCCCGTCCTTCCTTTCTCGTTCTAAGCGCTCCGGCTGCATTCCAGCAAAGCTTGCTGAGCTCAGGAGTTCTGGGTCAGGTTACAAGTGACCAAATGGCCAGCAGAGAAGGACTCATCGCAGAGGCCACAGGCCTTCCCTTCACTCAAATTGGCTTAAGTGGCCCTGTCCACGCGTAAACAAGGGCTAGAGTTCTAGCGGTTGGCGGGTGTCCCAAATCTCTTAGAAAAACGAAGGCTATAAACTGATCAACGTGAACGTCATGGGGCCTGGAAACCACGGCAGCCACCGTGCCCTTGGAACACAGGTCTCCGACCAAAGCTACAGCCTCTTCCCTTTGCGGGGCTCACTGTGTGTTCACAGTTGTTGCAATTCCCCGGCCGTTCTGCTCCGAGTCGCATGCTTAGAGCCTTCTCTCTGGGTAGCCGGCTCCCACAGGTGACCTCGGGGACTGGCCTGGAGTCTGGTGAGAGCGACTGGAGGTCCGAGGGCAGAGCCTTCCCTGAGCTGCAGTCCCACTCAGAGGCCGACCGGAAGTCCGTGGTCCCACTGACCCCTTGAAAGTCCAAAAATAACACCAGTGCCTCCCTCGGAAGAAAAGCGCAAATCGTCGTCGTCTGATCAGGATCAATCGGGGCGGGGAGGTGAGAGGGAGAGGAAGCGGAAGGCTCTGCGGGGAGGAGGGGGCCGTGGTCCCGCGCAGCCTCTCCTGGGGTCGGAGCAGGTCGGCCTAGCCCAGGCCCACGTCCAGTGACATCATCACCACAAACCCCAGGATGGAGGTCCAGGACGCCAGCTTCCCGTTCCCACTAGGAGGGAGGAAAGGAGAAACGTGAGGCCTCGGTGCACCCGGGACACCATCCCCCTGGAGCACGGGCTGCAGGGTCCCGCTCCGGCAGAGAACGCCCCCACCTTCCCCCATTAGCGATGGGAACCACCCTGACAGCTGCCACTGCCCCAGGCTTGCACCGAGCCAGGCGATGGGAGCAACTCCTGTCCGCATAAGGACAGCCACGGGCCGTCATTCCCGTGTCACTGGCGGGGAAACCGAGGCACGGGGACGTCAAAGAACGTCTGGAATCCATGCTCGAGGAATGCGAGGTGGCAGGAAGCTCCTGGAGATCTTACGCAATCCGACCATAAACTAGCCTCAGAACCAAAATGGAACAAAAAGAGGAAGCCCCCTCGCGCCTGGTCCATAGCCAGACAGTGAGGCCATGGACGCACTGCTTCAGCTGACAAAGCCCACCTCCCTCCCGTTCCAGGCCCGGGAACATCCGGGGAAGGTGGGAGGGAAGGAGGGAGGAAGAGAGGGAGGAAAAGGGAAGAGGATGAGAGGGAGGGAAGGAGAGAGGGAGGGAGAATTAAAAAATAACAGTCTGTTTCACCGCAACCTAGGTATGTGCCCTGACCAGGATTATAACTTGCAACCTTTCTGGTGTATGTATGGACGACGCTCCAACTAAGCCACCGGACTAGACCCGTCACTCCTCTTTCTTTCAGTGTCAGACAGCACGGCTGCGAGGGGCTGAGGAGGGTCTTCGAAGGGACAGGAAGGGGTGGGAACAAAGAAAGGAGGCTGGGTCCGT